ACTCGCAGCGCTGCAGGCCGCGCCCCAGGCACAGGAACGCGCTCCGTCGCACAACGCTGGGCGAGAGTGGGCCGCGGACATTGGCGTGGGCAGTGGAGAGGAGGGGGAATTGGAGGGCCATCGCACTGCGTGCTGCTGCCCTGGTCTCGGGCGCGACCGTGGAGGTGCGGTGGTTATTCGCGGACGGTGACACAACAGACGGCAGCACAGCGTAATCTCTGCGCACGCGTGATCCAGCACTTCTGCGCACGCACTGGAGCAAGCAGGACACCGACACCGACGGACAGGCACAGCAGCAACGTGGCTCGCACCTGCTCCAGGGACGTGCACGCCGTGCTGGCAGCTTCGCGCAGCGCGCGCTGCAATTAATACCCAGCATGTCGCCGGATCCCGACGATGTCTCTTCTCCAGAACCTGGCGTCGAGCAGGAAGATCACACCACAATGGGCGACGACGACAAAACTGCCCAGCGCGCCTCGACCGACGAGAAGTCGCCTGCCCAGACCACGACCACCACTTCGACCTCCAAGAGCAATGCAAAGGATCCTTCGCGGCCGAGGCGTAAGAAGGCTCGCCGAGCTTGCTTTGCTTGTCAACGAGCGCACCTGACATGCGGTGAGTGTGGCTCGAGTTTCGTCAAGATCCAATGCGCCACTGCTTGTTCAATACTCAAGTCTACTGGTACTGACTGCTGTAGGTGACGAACGCCCATGTCTCAGGTGCATCAAGCGTGGCCTTCAGGATCAATGCCATGATGGCGTCCGCAAGAAGGCAAAGTACCTCCACGATGCTCCTCCAGAGGCCCTGGTGCCTGGCTACGCAACCAACAATTATGCTATGAACGGGACGACCAGCCTGGCCGCAATCTCTGGGACCTCCACAGCTGGCAACTACTTCCCTCCAAATGCGTCGGCAAGCTTTTCGTCCTTCAGCAACCCTGGCCAACAACCAAACATGGGCCCGCCAATCATGGATGGCAACAACATGGTCGCAGACTTTGCGTCAACGCAGTCTGCAGAAACACCTGCCCAGTACCCATCGACCTCCAGTCAGCAAGTGTCTCCTAATCAGGAGTTTACAAACGCGCTTGAACATACGCCGTCCATTGGAACTACGGCGAATTTCGATACTCCCTATTTCGATGCCAATGATACTTCTCTGTTCAACTTTAACATTTCGGAATTGAACTTTGGCAACCACTACGGTGCTCTCGAATTTGGCATGCTTGGCCACATTTCTTCCGGTGCAGTCGACACTCCAGAGGTCGACTCGGTGAATCAGATGGGCCACTCAAATCAAGGCAGCGTATCCTACGATGCTAACAATGGCTATCAGAGTGGATACAACTACAACCAGGGATTTCCATCATGGCAGAATGCAGGCTCTGCATCGAGGCACAGCAGCACGAATAACATCTGGAATGGCCAAAATAATGGACTGGAAGCCTACGCGATTGGCGAACAGGCGTCCTCGATCACAGGCGCAAGTCCGCGCTCGCAGAACCAAGACCTCACAGGATATCAATCTGCCACGATGTCACCGGAAACGCATTTTGCTCAGCCCGACCAAAGTGCTCAGCCTGATCTGCTACGGCAGAGTTTATCTCAATCACAACGCAAACCACCTCCGTTCCCGGGTGATCTACAGCCAGAAACGGACCGCAAGCGACGCAGGAACACGTCGGAAGTCTATTCAACCGTGCAGGCGCCGTATCCATATACTCAGGGCTTTCATGCATTGACGGCACTCCTCAAGAAACGTTTCGTGCCCAAGAAAGTTTTGCACATTGCGAAAGCATTGGCAACCATCCGGCCCTCATTCATCTCTTGTAACCAACATCTCGATCATGACGACCTCATATTCATGGAGAAGTGCTTTCAGCGCACCCTCTGCGAGTATGAAAACTTCATCAACGCATACGGCACTCCGACTGTGATATGCAGGAGAACTGGTGAGATCGCAGCCGTTAGCAAGGAATTCTGCCTAGTCACCGGTTGGCGCCGAGATGTATTGCTGGGCAAAGAGCCCAACCTTAACGTCAACACTGGCGGCGTGGCGACCTCAGGGACGCAGACCGGAAGCAGTTCACGGGGAGCGGTAACTCCACGAATGACTAATGTTGAGATCGATTCTGGCAGACCCCAGCCGGTGTTCCTTGCTGAGCTGATGGACGAGGATAGCGTGGTGCAGTTCTACGAAGATTTCGCGGAGCTAGCGTTCGGCGCGTCGAAGACTGCCATTATTGGAGCGCCATGTGCGCTTCTCAAATACCGGACTAAGGACGACCCCGGGTGGGGCCCCAATGATCATCTCGCTGACGACGGCAAGCGCATCAAAAAGCACGGGGACGTCAAGACAGAAGCTCTGATCAAAGGCGAAGCAGGCATGCACGCTTTGGGCGAACGAGATGGCAAAGTCCCATGCCAAATGTGCTGGACCGTGAAGAGGGACGTCTTCGACATCCCCATGTGCATTGTGATGAATGTAAGATTGCTCTTGTGCGCTTTACTACCGTTTGACCAGCATACTGACACGATGCGGCAGTTCCTCCCCATAATATGATGAGGCGTGGCATTGCTGGCAGACCAACGCGGGGGCCCCGGCGGCCTAGCCTCAATGATGACCAGTACATTTGGGATACGGCCTGACGAAACATAACGGATGGCGGATAATCTGCAAACGAAGGACATTAATGCTAAAGACGTCAATTACACAATTAGTACCGGTCAGCTGGGCTACACGGCTCGGACGCTGACACAGCGACGTTCACATCTAGGGTCACGAGCAACGAATACAACTCCGCGAGCAAGGCATATGGGGCGGTCGTGCTTGCTGTAGATTATTGCACCACATAACATGGTGGCGGAATGTCATACGAAAATTCTATCTCAAATCGGCGGTCTTCGCATTTGTACCTCTACCGAGCAAGTTCGTCTTTGCCTTCGAACTCAACCAGATACGGGTCTCGTGCCAGTGCTACATAAGCCGGTCGGCTCAGACTTCGTCCTGCAACATCAATATCCGTCTTGATATCTGCAATCAAGCTCTCTTTGCTGACATAATCCAATTCCGGACGAATGAACCCCAAAATCAACAAATTCATATGACTGCCATAAAAATCTGTATCGAAGTCTTGCATGATATGTACTTCCACACTTCGGACTGTGTTCTTGTAGAAGGGGTTCCAGCCTATTGACATCACCATTGGGTAGACTGTTCCTTGGGTTGATGATGTGCTTGGTGTTTCGCCGTTTGAGAGAATGGATTGGAGGTTTTTGTGGACGTCGGATGTCATGAGTTTGTAACTTGAGATGTCGCTTGGTGGGTTTTGTTGAGTTGCACTGCAGGTGGAAATTCCGGCCCAGCCGTAGTAGACTCCTGATTCGAGGTTTTCGTTTCCGCCGACGGAGAGGCCTTCGATGGGGATGTTGGCGGTGGGGATGCCGAGCTGGGGGAGGGATTGTCAGTTTGTGATACATTTTTGCTCCAAATACGATAGAGAAAAATCGTGAAAGGCCCAGAGTCGTTCATGTGATAGCATATCGACGATATGGGTAGACTGGGAACGACGATCCATTTGTCATGACTCAGGCGGCTCACTACAGGTGCGATGGGAAGAGGATCTTGCACGTACGTCTTTACTCCCACGGCCGAAACCTTTGATGACCTTGCCATCGAGTTTGAGGGGAAATGGAGGTTCGGGCCCGTTCTCATTGCCCACAACAGTGGGACGTGGCTCGCCTGATTTCATGTTTGCGGCTTGTCAATGTCCTGCGTACGGCGTGTCCTCGGCTCTGCCGGATTTTGAACAGGGAGCGTTTCTTGAACGTTTCAAGGTATCGCGGCAATGGATTGAATGTCGAGCACCTGCAGTCAATGTTGGAGCAGAAGGAAAATGGCAGGAAACTCGAGCTGTGAAGTCGCAATCGTCAGAGATGTTGCGTCTTAAGTCCGGCTTTCGTCCGGCCGAGTTGCTCCACTCGCATTGCTGTTGACTCGACCATGCATTTGAGGTAGCATAACATTCCTAGCATAACAACATGGAACAATCAGTATGGGCAGACTCGAAGGTGGCAGAAAATGACGCACAGGAATCGACAAGCGCTTTCGCGCAGACTGGTTCACAGCAGGATGACCTATTCGACGATGTCGTTCCCGTTCCCGAGCAGGAATCAATGCGATTGCGATCAGACGACGACCTGTTCAGCGAAGACTTCACACCTGTGCCACAGGCTCAAGTAGAGCCAGCGAAACCATCGCCGCCTGATGCGCGTCCTACCGAAGCTCCAGCAACGCGAGGCAGAGGACGGGGAAGAGGTCGAGGCTCTCGCGAGGGCAAAGATGGGCAGACGAGGAATACGCCACAAACACGCGGGAGAGACAATACTGGTCCCAGGGCGAGACGTACCGACGATGCGGGTACAAGCAGCACCACGTCACAGCCGCAGACACAAACACAAAACCAAGCGCCAGAGAACGCACCTGCCGGACCACGGCGAGGTGGCGCTCGCGCTGTTCGTGGTGACCGGCAGGACACAGGTGGTGTCCGCAGACCCAAATTGACCGAGGAAGAACTGGCAGAGAAGATGGCTCGCATCCAAATCAAGAATGCATCATTAACTGCAGCACATGCTCGAGCAGAGGCCGACGCAGCATCGTTCGCCGAGCGCGAACAACAAGCAAAGAAAGTGGCCGAGGAGCGAAGAAGTCAGGAAAAACGAGATCGTCAACAAATGATGGGCGAGCGAGAGAAAAATCGAATGCGGAAGCTCAAAGCGATGGAGGGTAGAGAATGGGACGCAGAGAAGCAAGAGCAAGACTTTGCTAAAGGCTCGAAATTCGATAAGCCCGGTGCGTTTGCTGGCGATCAGAAGGATTATAGTGATGGGCGAGAATATTTGTACCGAGAACCTCGGGGCTCACATAGAGGCGGACGTGGTGGAAATCGTTCACAACCTGCGACACAAACGGTTCCGACCAAGGAGGAGTTCCCTGCTCTGGCGCCTCAAAAGGATACGAAAACAGCAGCATCGAAGGGGGATGTAACGTCGGCGGCCGGCGAAGCGACAAAAGGTTCATGGGCTGAGCAAGTAGAGTCCTCTATAGGGTCATGATGTGACATTGTCATTTGCATGAACAAAAAGCATTCGTATTGCGCCTTGCATGATGAATGTCCCAGTTGCGTCACATTTTCAATGGCCAGTTTTGCCAGTGCAGTCGGAGAGAACAGCATTTCCAGGCATTGAACCAAGGTGTAGGAGCTATAAAGCTATAGTGGAGCACAGCTACGTGCGTGACATGATCTAGCCGCTGGACTTGGCATCAAGACATCAACATCATTGATCCGAACAACACGCATCATGTCTTTGGACTTTGGTCTCCGCGACGTGCATTGCCTTATTACAGGCGCAGCCGGAGGCATAGGGTTGGAAACCGTCAACATCTTTCGCGCACTCGGAGCGCGAGTCACAGCACACTATAATTCGAATCCTGGAGAGCTCACCAAACTAGATGTGGTCACTGTGAAGGCAGATGTGCGTAATGAACAAGACGTGGAAAGGCTGTTCGAAGAAGCAGCCGAGAAGAATGGTGGACCAGTTTCTGTGATCGTGGTCAATCGTATGCATGAGTCTTCCTGTTGGATTTGTTCCTGAGAGCTGATCGAATGAGCAGACGGCATCTGGCCAACGAATGATGCGCATATAGCAGATATGCAATTATCTCAGTGGAAAAATACGATTGATGTAAATCTTACCGGACCGTTTTTGATTTGCAGGGCGTTTCTACGCGCTCTTCGCTCAGCGCCAGATTCAGTCAAGGATGCCGCTTCGATTGTTTTTGTTGCGAGTACTGCTGGCAAATTCGGCGAAGCTGGACATGGCGACTATGCTTCGACAAAGTCTGCTCTACAGCACGGCTTGATGCTTACGCTGAAGAACGAGATTGTTACTATTGCGCCGAGAGGACGAGTGAATACTGTTAGTCCAGGGTACGTATCGAGGAGGCGAGTCCTTCTTCCCGAATCTGAGGGGAAGGGCATTGACACGTGCTCGCTGGATACCGTTTCTGACGAGTGCTCCAGGTGGGTAGCAACACCCATGGCAGCTGAAACGCTCAAGGACAAGCGCTTCGTCGAGAGAGCTCTTGCAACAACGCCTCTGCAGAAAGTGGCCACGCCCGAGGATGTAGCACGCCAGATTGCAGTGCTCGCCTCGCCTGTGCTGAGTGGGCATATGACTGGAGTCAATGTTCAAGTTGGTGAGTACGATCTACCGCTGCCAAATCTGCTCGTGCTAATGTGTCTTCAGACGGTGGTATGGAGGGAAGGTGTCTGTATCCGCCTACACTCTCGTAATCCCATGCAGACTTAGAAAAGTAGCTGAAGTATCGAATGCCATTTGCACTTGTGCTGGGGAATGCTGTTGATCGCTGTGTCGCTATGTCGTTGGAGAGAAGCTGGTCTTGTTCTCGATCGAGTTCCGATTGTGCTGTGACGCAGGTCTCAATGTGGCCACAATCTGATGCCCGATGGCACTGTCGCGTAAGGAAAAGTAGTGATGGTCTAGACATGCAACGCCTCGAGGGAGCGAAACACGTGTGGCCTGAAGCGGTGCATCACAATCATCGCGATACGGTTTCTCCGGCTCCGAGCAACCTCACATGCTGTCCTGGACATCATGTCCCGCCGTAGT